CCCCCTTTTCCCCATTCCAACCATGTCTCAATCTCTGTATTCCAGAGCCCTGTTGTTCCAAGGTTGTGCATACATCATTATTTACCTCTGTCCCACTTAGCCCGTTCAAACCTGACTAATTGTTCTCCCATCTGCTTTGTTCTTCCATTCCCCTCTCCCTTCTTGTATATAGCCCGCCTCCCCAGCACCCAAACTACCCTGTATCTAATCCCTGCGCTCCACTTTCCCCTCCCTTCCCTCACCCACCCCTAACATCCCAGCAATCAACAAAGAATCCCCCCACCTCACCCCACTTTAGTATGGGTTCTTTTTCTTAGTCTTTTACAGTAGTGGTCCTATGCAGTATTTCTCTTTTTGTGACTGACTAATTTCACTCAACGTAATGCCCTCAAGGTTCATCCATGTTAACCAGTGGTTTGCAGCTTCCTTGTTGTTCTTCAAGGTAGCATAATATTCCATTGTGTGTATGTACCACAGTTTGTTTATCCATTCTTAAGTTGATGGGCACTTTGGCTGCCTCCATCTTTTTTCTATTGTAAATAGTGCTGCTATGAACATTGGTGTGCATATATCTTCTCGTGTTGTGGCTCTTTTTTCTTGTGGGTAAATACCAAGTAGAGGAATTGCTGGATCATAAGGTATTTCTATTTTCAACCTTCTGAGGAAGCTCCATATTGCTTTCCAGAAAGGTTGGACCATTTTGCAATTCCACCAACAATGCAGGAGTGTCCCAGTCTCACCACATCCCCGCCAGCATTTATTGTCCTCTAGATATTTTGTTTTTGCTGTTATTGTTGGTGTGAGATGATATCTCATTGTTGTTTTGATTTGCGTCTCTCTAATAATGGCTCTCTGTTGGCTGCCCGGATCTCTTCCTTGGTGAAGTGTCTGTTCATGTCCTGTGCCCACTTTTTAATTGGGTTATTCGTCTTTTTCTTGTAGAGGTGTTTTAGTTTCCTATATATTTTAGAAATGAGTCCCTTGTCTGATGTGTCATTGCAAAAGATTTTTTCCCATTCTGTGGGTTCCCTTTTTACTCTTCTGGTGAAGTCTTTTGATGCACAGAAGTTTTTAATTTTCAGTATGTCCCACTCATCTATTTTGCCTACTTTTGATTGTGTGGTTTTTAAAATGTGAAACCCCATTTTTGATAGCCAGTGTCTAAATTTCTTACCCTGTCAACCCAGTACACTGAGGAAAGAAGGTTGTTCTTTGATATGAAGAATCCTTCCATTCTGGTTGGAATTTTAGTCACTGCATTTATAGACAAAAGTATAGTTTGTCGAATTGTAGAAATTTGCACTTGTTCTCAGTATCAAACATCTTTATCTCCCTTGGTTCACGTTCTGGTCCACTAGCCAACCAAATTAGGTCAAATGGGTACTAACTGCAAGTTTAGGAGCTTACACACACCTCCCTACACTTCAGACCAGCTGGCCGCTTCACTTTCAGCTCTAGCCCCTAAGGGCTAGGTGAGTGCGCATGGGCTCAGGGGTTCATACATCTTCCTAAATGTCATACCAGCCAGCCCTTCCTCTTCTCTCTCTCATCTCAAGATCAATGGGTGCCAATGGAACATGACCAGATGCAGCCCATATCATCATTGCTGCATTTTCCCCACTTGCACTCTCAAGTAGACCCAAGCGGTCACCAGTGAGCACATTATACTTTTCATGCATTCCCTTTGAGTTTCAGTCCTAGAAGTGGGTTTTCCCTGATGGGCTAGCTTTTCTTTCCTTGATGCTTTCGAAGTAAGCAGCTTGCTTGATACTCAAACAGCCAGTCTGCTTTTTTTCTGCAGGTCTTTCTTTCGGTAAGCATCTTCTGTTCTCCCACCAGTTCTAGGTTGTTCTGCACATCTTTTCTAGTGGGAATGTGGGAACATATTTTTATGCCATGAGATTTACAAAAATGTCTAACAAACTTATAGAAGAAATGCTGTCCATATTTATAACAAAATCAGTGAGAGGAAATATTATAAAGAAGTATCATATTCAATAGTAAGTAAGAGATCATAGGTAGTCAGGAAAATCAAGAACATTTTGATAGAGAAAGTAGTATTTAATATGGAGTTTGAAAAATAGGATTTTTAATAGGCATAGAGGGAACCCAGTGGCAGACTCTATCTAGCACAGGCAAATTGCAGCCCGCAGATTAAATGCCCGTTTTGTCATTACAGCTTTATTGGAGCACCTAGAGCTGCCTTTGTGCTGTATTGGCAGAATTCAGAACTTGAGACAAACCATATGAGCCACAAAACCTAAAATATTTACTAATTAGCCTTTTACTGAAAGTTTGCTGATTTCTGTAAATAGATAGTATATTGTTGGGAAAGTATTACTGGTAATGACTGAAGAAGTAGAGTTATTTGTTATAATGGATGGGATCAGTAATAGAAGTGGGTGGACTCTTAAAAGGTTAACCTTGAAGGGATGGAATTGGGAGAATGTTATTAATAGAGGAGAAAGAGGAGCCATTCCAAGCTGGGATAATTACTCAGTAGGGCACAAAAGGGGTTTTCCCTTAATCATACTTTTCTAATCTTTCTCTTGCTAGCCAAGAAGGATCAGGAAGGCGGAGAAGAAAAGAAATCTGTGCAAAAGAAAAAAGTAAAAGAATTGAAGGTGTTGGATTCAAAGACGGCCCAGAATCTCTGTGAGTAACTCTATTTGAAATGTTAAGAAGTTCTCTCAGAACTAGCAGATTCAGAGTCCTTCAATATGAAACTTCCATTGAATGAATTTCTCCTGTATACCAGGCATTTGCATAATAAGATTCTCATATCTAGTTTGATCCCTTCAATAGCACTGCAAAATTGTTGGTATCCAGTTTCATGCTAAGGAAACAGAGGCTAAGATTTTCAGGAATTTGCTTCTTCATATAGCTTAGATTTTCTAATTTTAAAGCCCTTGTAGCGCTGTGGGTTTGAATTGCAAGGTCGATGGTTCAAGCTCACTAGTTGCTCCTCAGATCGCTGTGAGTCAGAACCAACTCAGTGGCACTTATCAACACTGTTTCCATTGTATCCACATAATATCCAGTGTAAATGTTCTAGCCATTGTAAATTTTTTTCTCACTTTCTGAAAAATACTTCCTTTAAATGCAGGCACTGACTTGACTTCAATAAAATCTAAAATAACTGTGGTTTAGATTGTTGTTATGTGCCTTCGAAATGGATCTGATTTCATAGCGACCCTGTATAGGGTTTCTGAGGAGCAACTGGTAGATTTGAACCACCAATCTTGAGAATCAAGCTGACCTTAAAATCCAATGCTTTATCCTACAGCTTCACCCCAGGACAATGTAAATCTTATGCTTCTTAGGGCAGGATCAGTGTCTCCAGAGAACTTTCTATACTAAGCTTCCTACTTATAATTGATTGATGACGAAAACAACTTTCAGATGAGAAATTCCTCTGCACAGTTAATGTTTTGTTAGCTTCTGTCAAATTGGCCCCCAACTCATGGCAATTCGTGGTGGAACTGGACTGTTAGTATGTTCATTGGCTGAGTTTTCAGAACTTGATGGCCTGGCCTTTCTTCCTAGTCTGTCATAATTTGACAGCTCTACTGAAACCTGTTCAGTATCATAGCAACACACCAGCCAGGCTGTGCTTATTTGGACAATCAGTATGAATAAGTTATTTTGTTGTTCAGGTTAACTTTTGATCTATCTGTATTATTCTGTACTCCTGGTATAATGCTGTAAAATAAACACTGGACTGTGAACTACAGGATTGGCAGTTCACACATACCAACTGTTCTTTGGAAACCTTATACAGGGTCACTGTGAGTCCAAACAAACTCAACAGCACTTAACAACAACATATTATGCTGACTACTATAGATTTAAATAAGGAGCTCTGGTAGCATAGTGGTTACGAATTGGGCTGCGAACCACAAGATCAGCAGTTCGAAACTACCAGCTGTTCTGCGGGAGAAAGATGAGGCTTTCTGCTCCCGTAAAGATTTACAGCCTTGGAAACCCTGTACAGGGTCGCTATGACTCGGAACCAACTCCACGGCACATAACAACAACATAGATTTAAATATTGGTTCAACAAGTATTTGAGGTTCTACTATGCACCAGGCTCTATTAGGCACAAGGAGCCCTGGTAGCACTGTGAATTTAGGCATTAACTTCTAACTGCAATCTTGGCAGTTCAAACTCATCAGCCTCTCTGCAAGAGAAAAATGAGGCTATCTCCTCCCATAAAGATTTATAGTCTCTGAAACCTTGATAGGATCTAAGTGATTTAGAATGACTCACTGGCAGTGGAAGTTTTAAGGCATAAGTTCTAGAGCTGAAAAGGGCATGTTGTTGTTAGATTCCTTGAAGTCAGTTCCGACTCATAGCGACCCTTTACAGTACAGAGCGAAACACCGTGCCATCCTAAACCATCCACACAATTGTTATGTTTGAGCCCATTGTTATTGCCACTGCATCAGTCCATCTTGTTGGGGTTCTTCTTTTACACTGATCATCTGCTTTTCTGAGCCTCAAGTTCTTCTCCAGTGACTGGGTCCTCCTGATAATATGTCCAAAGTACAGGAGATGAATCTCATAATCCTTGCTTGTAGGAGCATTCTGGCTGCACCTCTTCTAAGACAGATTAGTTTGTTCTTATGGCACTCCATGGTACCTTCAATGTTCTTTACCAGTACCATAAGCCAAGTGCATTCGTTTTTCTATGGTCTTCTTTCCTTATTGTTCATCTTTCACATGCATATAATGTGATTGAAGATACCATGTCTTGGGTCAGGCAGGCCTAGTTCTCAGACTGACATCTTTGTTCTTGAATGTTTTAAAGACATCTTTTGCAGCAGAGTTGCCTAATGTGATACACCATTTGATTTCTTGACTGCTGCTTCCATGAGCATTGATTGTGGTCCAATCAAATTTAAGTCTTTGACAACTTCAATCTTTGCTCCATTTTATCATGGTCCAGTTGTGAAGATTTTTGTTTTCTTTATATCAAGGTGCAATCCATACTGAAAACTTAGTCTTTGCTCTTGAAATACTGATGTATTTCAAGTCCTTTTTGCATTCAGCAAGCAAGGTTGTGCCATTTGCATGTCAGAGGTTGTTAATTAGTCTTCCTTCAATTTTGATGCCTTATTCTTCTTCATATAATTCAGCTTTTATGATTATTAGCTCAGCATACAGATTAAGTGTGGTGAAAGGATATAACTATGATGCACATCTCTCCAAATTTCAAACCATTCAGTATCCCTTGTTGTGTTCATATGACTGCCTCTTGGTCTATGTACAAAAATTATGCATAGAAATGGATATATATTCCATAAAATCCACTCCTACTCCTGTGACATGCTTACTGTCCCCATTTTTCCCAGTGAAGAAACTAAAGTTTGGAAGTTGTGACCTGACCAAGGTCACACATAGAGTAGTGAGCCTTTATATGTTTCTTAGCTATACAGTCTTCACCACATATCTGTCAGTTTATTGTACAGTGGTGGGTTGCATGTTGCTGGAAGCTATGCCACTGGTGTTTCAAATACCAGCAGGGTCATCCATGGTGGACAGGTTCCAGCAGAGCTTTTAGACAAGGAACAGATTAGGAAGGAGTAGCTGGTCCACTTCTGAGGGATCAGCCCTTGAAAACTTTATGAATAGCTGTAAAACATTGTCTGATGTAGTGCCAGACAATGACCCCCTTTAGTTGGAAGGCACTCAAAATGCAACTGAAGAAGAACTGCCTCCTCAAAGTAGAGTCGACCCTAATGATGTGGATGGAGCAGAGCTCCTGGGACCTGCATTTTCTGATGGTGCACAACGCAAGATGAGAAGAAACAGCTACAAACATCCGTTGATAATCATGTGGAAGTATGTGGAATGTACTAAGTATGAATCTAGGAAAATTGGACATTTTCAAAAGTTAAATGGAACACATAAAGATTGATATCCTAGTCATTAGTGAGTTGAAATGAACTGGTATTGGCCATTTTGAATCAGACAGTCATGGTTACTATGTTGGGAACCAATAATTAAAGAGAAATGGTGTTGCATTCATTGTCAAAAAGAGCATTTCAAGATCTGTCTTGAAGTACAGTGTTGTCTGTGATACAATAATAACCATATGTCTGCAAGGAAGACCAGTTAATAAAAGTATTATGCAAATGTATGCACCAACCACCAAAGCCAGTCATGAAGAAATTAAAGAGTTCTACCAACTTCTCCAGTCTAAAACTGATCAAACATACAATCAAGAAGAATGTCAAATTACTGGTGATTGGAGTGTGAAAGTTGGAAACAAAGAGGAAGGACAGGTAGTTAGAAAATATGGCCTTGGTGATAAAAATGAAGCTGAGGGATCACACAATAGAATTTTGCAAGACCAACAACTTATTCATTGCAAATACCATTTTCAACAACATAAACAGCAACTGAACACATGGACCTTACCAGATAGAAAATACAGGAATCAAATTAACAACATCTGGGGGAAGAGAGGATGGAGAAGCTCAATATCATAAGCCAAAGCAAGGCCAGGAGCCGACTGTGGAATAGATAATGAATAACTCATATGCAAGTTCAGGTTGAAGCTGAAGAAAATTAAAACAAGTCCACAAAGAACCAAAATATGACCTTGAACATATCCCACCTGAATTTAGAGATCATCCAAGAACAGATTTGATACATTAGATACTAATAACTGAAGACCAAAGGAGTTGTGGGATGCCATCAAGAACATCAAATACAAAGAAAGCAAAAGATCAATTAAAATACAGGAAAGAAAGGGAAGACCAGAGTGGATGTCAGAAGAGTCTCTGGAATGAAGAATAGCTAAAGCAAGTGGAAGAATAAAGCAGCTGAACAGAAAATTTCAAAGGATAGCTCCAGAAGACAAGTTAAAGTATTATAATGAGATGTGAGTTAGAAAGCTAAAAGGGAAGAATACACTCAGCATTTCTCAAGTTGAAGGAAGCTTGAAAGAAAAAAATTAAAGCTTCGACTTTTCAATTTTGAAAGATTCTATGGGTAAAATACTGAATGATGTAGGAAGTATGCAAAGAAGATGGAAGGAATACGCAGAGTCATTGTACCAAAAAGAATTAGTCAATGCTCAACCATTTCAGGAGGTAGCATATGATCAAGAACTGATGGTGAAGGAAGAAGTCCAAGCTGCACTGAAGGCATTGGTGGAAAATAAGGCTCCAGGAATTAACTGAATACAAACCAAAATATTTCAACAAACTAATGCCATGCTGAAGGCAGTCATCTATGCCAGGAAATATGGAAGACAGCTACTTGGCCAACTGACTAGAAGAGATCCATATTTTTGCCCATTCCAAAGAAAGGTGACCCAACAGAATGTGGAAATTAGAGAACAACATCATTAACATCACAAGCAAGTAAAATTTTGCTAAAAGATAATTCACTGTTACAATAGTATATCAACAGGGAACTACCAGAAACTCAAATCAGATTCGGAAGAGGATATAGAATCAGAGCTATCATTGTTGATGTCAGATGGATGTTGGCTGAAAACAGAAAACACTAGAAAGATATTTACTTGTGCTTTATTGACTGTGCAAAGGCTTTAATCTGTGTGGGTCATGACAAGAAGCAAGAATGGCAAGACTTTCTCTCTCATACTTTTTACATGTTATTAGAATGGGCCAGTCTCTGGAGAA